CTGGGCCCCTGTTCCAGTGCTTTACCACCCTCACGGGGAGCAAGTTTTCCTTACCTAAGGAGAGTTTCCACTTTTGAAACTTGTGTCTATTGTCTGTTATCCCGTCAGTATCTAGCTCCAAGAATAATCTATCTTTGTCTTCTCCACATCCTACTATGAGCTAAGTAAAGACTTTTAAGACCCTCTTAGCCTTCTCTTTGCAGGGTTCAACCAATGCAGTTCCCTCTGCTTTCCCTTGTGTATCGTGGGCTCCAGCCCCTGACCATCTTAGCGTCCATCCACTGGAATTGCTTCAGTTTGTCAATGCCTTGCACTGGGGAACCTCAAACTGGGCACCAGTACTCCAGGTGCAGTCTCACAAGTGCCAAATAGAGAGAAATAATCCCTCCTCTTGACCTGCCTAGTACACACGTACGACTGTAGTCAGTGCGCAGTTTGCATTCATTGCTGCAGGGGCACACCGACTCATGCACCTTGTCCACCAGGACCAGAGAGTCCTTTTCTGCAGATCCAGCCAGTCAGTTCCCAGTGCAAATGCATGGGGATTATTCTGTCCCAGGTTAATGACTTTGCATTTGCATTTATTGAACTTCATAATGTTCCTGTCAGCCCGTTTCTTCTTATCTTGTGTCTGTTGGGAAGTGGCGTGTGCGAGTGTGGTGCGTACAGCTCGATTCATATGGCAAAACTCTTCATCTAGATGAGACCCTCTGTACTGACCAGAACAGATCAGATGTTTTCATCTCTCATTTGAACTGCATGGCAATATTCTTGAGGTCCTTGCTCTAAATGTATAAATGCCTCAGGATCAAAGGGTGAATATTTTTTTTTTTTTCACATTTCTTTTTTCAAGGAATGCTCAAGTGTAAGAGAAACAGTATTTCAAGCATTTTTTCCCGTGCTGTTCTGCATTGTCAGTCTATCACATGGACAGTCTTAAGCTCATTCTAGGTTCACTGACTCATGCGGATTTCACTAAGCATCTTCGTGCTTCTTAATTAGCTTAATAAATTAATCAGAAGTTGCTGTACAGAGCAAAATCTAAGCCAAGCAGCAAGAGTTTGAGCAATGGGATGAGACTGGATTTGCTTTTAACAAAACTCTGTCGTCCTTTAGTTGCCTGTGAATGTAGCTGAGAGATCAGCATTTGTCACAAGTTGTGCCTGAAGCTGTGTACACATATAAGCTCCATAGGCTCTTGCTGATGTTACCGACCGTTGCTGTAGACGGGGGAAGCTGAGGCAGAAAGCAAATGCTGCCTGCCTATGGCCCCAGAGGAGTCGTGGGTGAGAGCACTGCCCGCAGTTCTCTCCTGGTGCTGCTTTTTGCACGTCATTTAGGTCATTTCTGCCTTTATCATCAGATCTGGCAGTGCTGCAGAGCTGCCTGCTTGCTAAATCCCATTGTATCAACACTTAAACCAGGTGATTAAAGAAAGATTAATGTCATTGATGTAGTGTGGTTAGAGACCGTGGCCAGAAAATCAGTGAAGTATAGAAATTATTTATATGTTTTCCATGCACACTTGGTCTTAATTTGTGTTCTGCTCTCAAAGCCCTAGGAATAATATAGACAATCCAGGTTTCCTTACCTGGATGTTTACTTTATTCAGCTCCTCGTTGGATATGTATTGTATGTCCTTAGCAGTGGAAAATACAGTTGAAACCTCTCTTTCTCAGTTGCATTAAATGGTATGACAAATGCCAGTGGCCTGATAAAGTCTTTGAATAAAGCTGTAGCCAATTTCTATTTAAAACACTCAGAGGAGTCATTATTGTACTCACAGGCGACTTTTAAAGTTGGGCACTTGCTGCGTTGTGCTCTTTTACGATGTATAATGAAGTCTTTGCACTCCTCTGGCTTTTTCTTTAGCCTTTTCTGCCTTAATTACTTCCATATGTGGAGGGTATTTTGCAGTCACCTATGCAGCAGTTGGAGAGGGCAGCCAGTCGGGGAATGCATCTTTGTGCCACCTCCATCCCCAGCATTGACACTTCTTTCATTGTCTGATAATTTCTGGCAAATTATTGAATCTGGATGAAAATTAACTTAGAAAAACCCAAGAAATGTAATTTTCAGATCTGGTCTGTATCATCAAGTGACTGCATGTGTACACTGGAGCGAATGCAAAGGAAGGAGAAGACTTCAGCAGCAAAAGGCAGCCTTTTAGACTGGCGTAAATTCATCTAAACCTCGCTAAGTGATGGGTTCATGAGAGTCAGGAACAGGAAAACTTGGCAGTCTAGAGGGAACAAGGGTTAGTGTCAGCCTTCATTTGAAGATTTATCTATTTTCAACAGATAAACTCTCTGCAACATACAGTTTTAATAATGAAGGTAGAGCTGAATCTTGATTCTACCCACAAAAAAGTCCAATGATGTTTGAAACCATGACAAGTTTCAATCATCTTGGAACTTTGGGTGATAAATAAAACCCCTAAAAATTAGAGATTATGGTAGAGCTAGAAAAAATGTTTCTAGCCTTCTTTTTCATTGTGGAAAGTGCAAAATGTCTGATACGCATCCATAACTAATTCCTTATCAGCTCACTTTGCATAAGAGAGCAGTAGCTGGTACAGATTTTGATCACTTGTCCGCATTAGGTACTGTTGGTCAGGTCAGAGTGCTGCGGCTGCTGAAATGAGGAGAGAGTAACATAGTTTAGTGATCCTAAATTCTTGGTGGGGACCACGATGGAAGGGGCACATGACTGGTTTTGTGGCTGAAAGTTGAGTGTGACTTCCCATGGTATTACAGCCCCTCAGGTCCATAAATCCATAAATCTGTCCCATTGCTTGTAGATATGTCCAGGACTCCACCGTTAGAAAGACTGTCTTTTTCAAAATGTAAAATTTTATCACCTAGTTCAGCTGTATCATGGGCCATACAGAAGTGGAGGAGAAGGCTGTAATTTGGTGATTTTGATCAAAGCTGAAACACCGAGTTGATAGCATTGTTTGTTTGAGTGATTGTTTTATTTTACCCACTTGTACAGATCTGAGTACTCTTAGCACTTATTAATGTGTGAGAACGGTGATCCTTGGGAATTAGCATCTGAATGAACATGTGCAAATGAACTCCTTTGGTCTGTGATAGAAATAGTTCTTGAAGGAGTTACGTCTTTTCACTTGAAAACAAATATACTAATATCTGAGCAGGCACTGAGAAATAAATTACGATATTTTGGTTTGTCCATGTGGTATTTTTTTTTTTGTGCCACAGTTCTTGGACATTGTTATATTGAAAGGATGTAATTGGACTAATATATTATAGGGGAAGAGCAGTGATAATACTACTTAGATCTTTCATCTTTTTATTAAGTCATTGTTTTGGTTTGGTTTTTTTAAAATGCTGTTCACTGAGCAGTAAAAAGAGCTGGAAGTCTTGCAAAGAATACCAAGAAATAAAACCTGGCACAATGAAAGACTTTCAGTACAATATGAATGTTGATCCTTTAAATTCACAAATCATCTTTCTATTAATTCACTGTAGAGTAAGGTCTCCTCAAGATAAGACTTAGCAGTGCTGTGGAGTTGGTATTTAAAGTATGTCCATCTGCATCTAAACGAGTAGCTCCAAGACAATCAGATTATGCAGTAGTTACTTTGGTGAGAATATCGCCTAAGTGGAATGGAAACTTCATTTTGAGTCTAATATTAGACCCTGCTTTGGAAAATTCCTTTTAAATGATCACAAGCTGGGAATAGCAAAAGAATTTAACTTTCGACAGACAGCATTCACCAAGAATTTGTTTTTAACTGCTTATGTTGGGTCCCTGGGAAAGCAGATGTGAAAAACTTACCAAAGTGAATTGACTTGACCTGATGCAATGTTTATATCAGTAGTTGATAAGTTTTCCTCCCTCGTCTAATTTGTTCAGGATATTTTCATTCCTTAACCATGAGTAAGTCTGGGTTGGAATAGTTTGAATGCTTGCTAGTCTAATAATCTGAATCTTAAAACATGCAGACATTATTGCCTATAAAGGGGTCTAAGCAAAGCTGAACTATTTTGGTTATCTTCCACGGATGGGAGAAGTATCGTTTTTGAGACTAGCAAAGAAGAATGTGAGACAACATTGCTTACCTCCTAATATTCAGAAAGCACATTGATATCTGCTGCATTTGTACTTCAGAATGCCACTTGTATGTGGCGAACCCTTTGAGTGCATGTTACTTTCTGTGCAGCTTTACAGAGGAATGGCTTTCAGTGGCAGCTAGGGAAACAGGCAACCAAGGATATCAAAGTGGATTTGAATGGTCATGATATTATTACTATTCCTGTGGCAGAAAGGACTTAAAGAGTTATAGAATACACTGTAAATGATGCACAGCTTGGGGATCTTTAGAACCACTAGTATATCTCATCTTAGCTTTTCTCTTTGTTGATCAAACACTGTCACTTTGAGTATTTTAATTAATCAGTTCCTAAATAAGTTGTACCCCCCCGTCCCCATACGGAGCATGTCTAAATAAATTATTTTTGGGTGAGGGAGGAGGAAAAGAAAAACTCATGGATTGGGCTGACCTCTTCTACCCAGCTCTACCCTGTCCACGTGCTTCTGTGGTTTGGCCATTGTTGCTGTTGTTTCCAAACTTGAAGAGAACATCCACGGGAGCTTGCTGCAAACGAGAGCTCCAGCCTGGCCTTCCTCTGCCAGTGCATGAGACAAGAAGTGGAACAACCATCAACAAGATAATATAATGAATTCAATGCCAGGGTGACAGTTTCACTGGGAAAGGCATTAGAAAGAGAACACTGATCTCTTTAGCTGTTCTCTTTTAGTGTGTTAGGTGGATTTATGTGACCCAGGAATGCATTTCTCAGACAGAAATCAGATTATGATTTTAAGCATCTGTTAAACTTTGCCTCTTTTTTCATGAAGCCTGACACCAACCTTTTTATCTTTTTATTTATAACTGTGTGCCTATAATTCTGCTGTAATTTCTGATCTTTCAGGAATTTCTAAAATGTCTAAATTGCTGATCTGTCTCCTTGCAGGCAAGTCTCACCTGGCTATAGTACAAAGAGTAAACAATGAAGGAGAAGGGGATCCTTTTTATGAAGTCCTGGGAATTGTCACTTTAGAAGATGTGATTGAAGAGATCATCAAGTCTGAAATTCTGGATGAAACAGATCTATACAGTGAGTAGAAATATTTGCACTTTGTTTATAGACAAGAGGGAAGACTCCATCAGCAGTTGTGTCTAATAGCTGTGTTTTGAGAGATGTAAGTTGCTGATATAAAATCTCAATGGTCGAATGACCTGCAGCCTGCAGATCCCTTAGATGGTCAAAGTCATTTTTATTTTTGCAGCACGGGCATCTCACCCCTTTATGCTCTATTAATTCAGAAACAGGACAGCTTGCTTTATTTGACCCTTCCATCAAGAAGGTTTATATCTGCAACAATCTGGTCTCTCCTGTTAGCTGATCACCACCACACTGGCCTTGTTAAACCCTTTTATTACAGTGCTTGTGACCTCCCACCTAACTCCTCCCTAACCTCTCTGTGCCTCAAGGGCCTGTAGTCCATGTACTACCGTACTTTAGGAAGAAGGCAGGCAGATACCCTACCTCAGGGGAGTGCAGTCTCTTTAGAGTGTCTCTCTGTCACTCATTTCTCAGGGCTGAAAACCAGCATGTCCTAAATGATTCTCCTGTTTATCACTGTGTACGGCTCCTTCCTTCCTTTGTGTTAAGGTACGTTGAAGGAGATGGTGCTGCAGGTCGAGCATTACCTGGGACTTGAGAGATCTGGGCTCTTTTCTTTCACAGTTTAGAGTTTGTCTGGTCTTTGGCCAGTTACCTAATGTGCCTTTGCTTCTCTTCCCATCTGTGCAATCTGGCCTGTGCATACTGGACTTCCTTTTTGTCATTCTTCATCTGTCTTATCTGTACTTTGATCACTTGGTGGCAGATGCTATTTTTTACTATTTGTTCACATGTAGCACAAGAATGTCCCTAGAATTTATTGTAATAGAAATAGTCAATGCTGTTCAGCTGTCTTTTGATTTCTTTTTCTTTCCTTGTGAAAGGGATCTGAATGTTTCTACAGCATCTTTTTTAGGTCAATATAAGCATCTTCTATCCTCCCTCCAAGCCAAATGAGCACTTTATACTGTGGGACAGACATACTTCTACTTTTCCTAATATTATTGCCTGAACTACTTTCTGTAGCTGGTCAGTATTTTACCAGTATTTATGTGTCCAAAGGGTCATGTAACTCACAGTTGTGTTTTACAGTATGCTAAACAGTCTAATTACTATGCAAATAACAGGAGTCCAGTAGTATTGATTTCCTTTCATACCTTAACAAATGAATTGTTGGACTAATCAGTTACCACATAATGCCTTTACAGAGTGAATTCAGACTTTCTTTTATACTCCGAAAAGATCCTGCCTTTGTCTCATCACCTTTGAGGTATTTCCATGTTTCTACGAGTTAAAAAGCATTGCATATGCTTTTCAATGAGTTTTTTTCCCTTTTTTGTTAAGAGACACTACATAGATCATGCTGTGGTGTTCTTCAGGACAAAAAAAAAAAAAAGCTTTGACCATTAAATAGCATGTTAGAGGTCAAGGAAATGAGACTTTAATTTTACTAGCTGAAGAATTCCTAGATTAACAAGATAGATCTGGTGAACACGAGTCCATTTGAAACTCTCCTTCCTGGGAAGTTTCACTGTTGAAAATTCCTGGTTCAGAGTAGGAGGGAAACTTCCTAGGCTTCCTGGAGGATGCAGGAAATTCTGGGGGGTGGATCTTGTTATGTACCGTGAAGATGAACTTCTAGTTTCTTTTATAAAGCATTGGAGTTCATTCCTCTGTTTATGTCGAAGGAAACTGTAGCAGTAAGGGAGAGAGGAGAAACCCAGAGAAGCTGTGAGGAACAGAGAAAATGTGATAGGTTTTGGATCTGGGCAGATTGATGTGCTGTAACCACTTCCAATTTGTGTAGTGATGGGAACATGCTTCGGGTTTACTGAAAGTACCTTATTGTCCATGATATGTTAAGGCAGCTCGTTTTTGATGTTGATATCAGTGTGTCAGTGCTAGTAAACCCATCTCGTACTGGAGTTCTCTGATGCTGTTTGTTACAAGACCGAGCTGGCTTACTCAGCTCAGAGCAAGTCAACTTTAAACCTTTGGACTGATTTGCTCTATGCTAGGTGTTTACTTAAAAGTAGACCTTATGAAAAATGTTGGCAGCGTTGTTATGCCTTTGTTCTGAAGTTTAAAAAAATGTTTTGTTTTGCTTTGATGGAAACTTGAAATTTGATGAAATGGCTGACCTTGGTGTTGGAGCTGTGCCTTTCTGCTGTTTCCATGAAAATCCATTTGAACTGTGTCGGGGTAGAAGCAATTGTAAATTTACAGCTTTTGCTGAAAGCTGCTTTCACTGCTGAAGCTCTGCAGCTGAATTTCTTGAGGGTTGTATACCCAATAACCATGTGGTATTTCTTCAGGTTGCTTTGCTGTGTCTTATGGCTTGCAGAGAGGTTGGGAGCAAGGAGAAGATGGGAGCAATAAAAATTGTTAAATATGTCTGATCTATCAACATCTGGATAGGCTGAGTACTTTTGAGCATGAGACTTTGTATTGAGGATGCTGATGGGGTGGAGAGTAAAGCTTTCTGTCATGACACAGGTAGACTCCGAGTACATCTCAGCCAGTGCGATGATGAAGAGCTGTCAGTGCGTTTGGCTCCTAGTATTGGAAAGTTGCAGTATTTTTTCATGGTTGACACGCTACAGGCATCTGTCGTCCACTCCCATGCGCCTAGCCATGGTGGGAGAGTATTTCTCAATCCTGGAGAGAAAGCTGTATGTTCTGTGTTGGCCTCAGACCACAGAGTCCGCTTGAGGAACATGGAATTCACTGTTCTGACCCGGGTTTGGCTGGTGACCTGTCTTATTTAGCTCTTTCTAATAAGATGAATTTAATCATCCCCTTACTGCAACTGGAGTGCTGCTGTTTTTCACGCATACAGATTCAGAGAGGGTTTGGCCCACATAAAACCTAGGATATTTCTACAAATGAAATGCCTTAACACACCTTTGTGCACGTATTCTGCTTGTTGCGGGTAAATAGTCTGGTTGTATACACCAGCTTACATTGCCTTTCTATGTCCTCACCCACATGCTGTTCAACAGTCCATCTCGGCCACTACCACCCCTGGCAAGCCCATGCTGCAGGGACCGTCAGTGCCGGGCCGTGGGGCACCTGTGTTACAGAGCTGCACTGCTGCACCTGCAATAGCTTTCTCCTAATCATTTGTTTTTAGGCTTGGGAAGTCACTTCCCCTGAGGGGAAGACCAGATCTTACCCTAATATTCCTATTTCCAAACAGCTGTCACAGCAGGTATGTTAAATATATGTGCTAGTAAACTCTTTATCACTACTCCCATTTCAAACATGGGGGCTACGGGAATAAAAATTGTTTGCCGTAATAAGTATTTCTGCTGTCATCCGGTGGAAGTGTAGCAACATAGAAAAGGTTGTGCAACACCAATTTGTCTGGCAAGACGTACAGATGTTGGCAGAATGTACATCAGTATCCTACGCAAGGAGAGCAGAGCTTTCTGTAGATGGAATCTAATCTTTAGATAGACGAAGGTTGTTGCCACCTGTTAGAAAGCAGTGCTTTTACTTTGTTGGCCATCAGGAGTGTGGACTTGCTAACCTTCTGCTGTCTAGCACAGGTAGGCTGCAGGAGCTGCATCCTTATGGGAAGCTATTTCAGGCTGTTTTAGAACTTCGGGTTTAGTCCTGCTGGTTTTCTGTTAGTTGCCAAAACAACTCTGGCATCCACCTCTGACTGCCCTGGGCTGGACATCCTGATACTGAGTATGGGCACAAGGTCAGTGAATTTAGTCCTCTGGGAATTGTGCTTTCTTTTCCTGGAATATCTGAGGGATGCACATCTCAAGCTGTTGCTTGTCTCTGTTCTTGTACAGTTCTTGTGTGCTGGACAGAACCACACTTTGATGAAATATTTTTGTCCTCATTCTCTTGTCTGGAGCTCACTGCAGATGTCTGCCCTGGTTAGTACAGATCCTAAAGACAAAAGAACAAAAAGGAGCATAGGAAGAGAACAAGAACCCATCCCAGAACATTGTCTGGGTGCATTTGCAGTGCCCATATCTCTGCTGCCTCCCTGCCCAACTGAATGGGTGATCTGAGGTTTGAACTCCCTGCTCTGTAGCCATCTCCAGTCCAGGCTGTGTCCTTCAAGGAAATACATGCAACCATTTGTGGTGTTCTGCATCAGGCCTGGAAGTTCAGGAATATTACAAGAGACATCACCACCTTACTGGTATTTGGACCCATCTTCCTCTTGAGATCTCTCCCTCAGCCCACGAGCTCACAGTCAGCCTTGCTGCCTGTGATTTGAAGGAAAAGCCTAAATGGTCCCAGAACCTGCTGAAGATAGTCACAGTATTTGTTGATATCTCACCAAAAGTTATACTTAGGGTATTCCTCACACAGCACATGGCTCGTGTCACAGAACCAAACAGCATCACAGCACTCTGTAAGCAGAGATCACTTCAGCATGCCAAGATAACTTCAGTGCCCAGATCTCCATCTCACTTACTGTAGAAAGGATTGACAGGAAATACCTGGTCCAGATTCAGTTACTTCTGTCACCATCCAATCCTTGGTTCCTATGTTTTGCAAGAAGCTCAGAAGTTGTTTGGATAGTGAAGAACAGTTAAGACCATCCCTTACAAAAACAAGCCAAGATAATGACTTTAGACCATGTGGCTGTGCTCTCACTGTGTAACCGTTTTCCTGGGGGAAGGTTTCTGGACAAGCTGCCAAGCAAACAGAAGAAGGAATTGAAATCACCCATCATTTGATTGAGAGCCTGGGTCTCTTACCTTGATGACTGATGCAGTTGGAAAGATTTAAGGCATCCTCTCATGTTGTGATGTTGGCCCTGTTTTCAGGTACCAGAAGTGCAGTGTGAAGCCTGTGGTGGTACAGCTCATTCACAGAGCTGCTTTACTGCCCCACTGAAAATATGTTTCCCTGTCCCACTGCCAAGACTTATACTTATGTTGATGTTTGCCTCCATGAAGAGAGCAATGATGGAGCTCCTTGTGAGAAAGCATTTCAGACACAGCTGGGGGGGG